GTTCTGTGACTTACTAGCTGTGTCGCCTTGTGCAAGTCCTCAGCCTCCAGCCTGGGTTTCTCATCACTAAAGAGCTGATCTCCCTTCTGGGAGGTTGCCAGGATCAAATAAGCTCAAAAGTACTTGGAACAGCAGTAAACAAAAGGTGGTGCTCTTTAAGGTTTGTTGTGGTTGTAATTATTAAGACAGCATGTGCAATGGTTAAGAGTGGAGGCTCTGGATCTAGGCTGCCAGGTTTGGATCCCAGCTCTGCCCCTTACCAACCACATGGACCACATGACCCTGGGCCAGTGACTTTCCCTCCTTTGGGCCTGTTTATTCATCCGGAACGGTGATGACCAGAGCCCCTCCCTGGGAGCCCTGTCCACGTCTGCGATCAGAGCCCCAGGTCCTCCAGCCCTCTCCACCCACCCTGCCTCCCCTTGCCCACCTCAATCATGATGCGGTCCCAGAGGCGGGTCAGTTCCCGGCCCTGGTCTGAGTCTGCACTGTAGAAAGTCAGCATCTGCTTGGTGATCAGGGATGGGTTGGACACCATCTGCAGAGGGCCGGGAAGAACAGGGGCTGGATGGGGAGAGAGATTGACCTCCACCCCCAGCCCGAGACCCTCACCACATCCCCACCCCACAGAAGTCATGCCCCTTCCCTGGCCTCCGCCAGACTCACGTAGTCTCGGTGGGTGTAGGACGTGATGCAGGAGGCACACTCAAAGATGTAGACGATGAGCATGAGCACCAGGTACTGGGGAGAGAGGGAGGGAAGGACAGACGCACCGCACCGCCCAGTCAGGGCAAAGCCTGCGAAGTTATACCCCTCCAGGACCCATGGAGAGAAACACAATTTTTAGAAAGTCTAGGACACCGTGGGTGGAAACATCTATGTGGCGGATATACACTGTTCAAGTCTTTCACGCTCTCTGTGTGTTTGAAATTTTTCCTAACAAAATACTAGGGGGAAATGAAATCAACAAAAAATGGCTAAAGCAGTCCCCAAAGTTAACTGTTGGCTTGGATGCAGTAAATGAATATACTGTAGAAAAGGAAAAATAAAGACATTCTCCAGACAACCAGGGGCACTTGAGCACAGACTGGGTGTTGGAAGAAAGATACGGAGGGACCAGGGTGCATTTTTGCAGGGTGTGCCCACAGCACAGTGGTTGTGCGAAAAAAACAAAAAAAGAAAGAAGAAGTAGAAACTAAAGCTCTTTGACTGGTGTTTAATGACAATTGTTTTCCTGGTCCTCAGTTGTCCTCACCCCTCAGCCTTAAAGCAACAGAGGGTGGAGTGGGTGAGATGCTATGGCCCAAGGCGCCTGACTGCTTTAAAATCAATCAGTCCTTGTCACTTAGGGAAACGTGCACTCGGGTATTTACAAGTTAGTGACTTAGTGTCTGGAATGTGCTTCAGAATACCCCAGGAAAGAAAACTGCAGGCAGGCAGAGGGTGTGGTGGAGGGGAGGATGCTGGCCAGTCCCTGAGTGATGCTGTTGAAACCAGGTGATAGGTGCGAAGGGATCATCATGGCATTACTCTAGTCTGTTTGCAATTTCCCATTATAATTAAAAAAAATGTTCCGTGTCAGTTCATGACAAACTAATAGGGGAGATGCACAGACTTTTTTTTAACTACTTGGGTGAACTTTTAGGGCTTTGGTTCAATGGTTTGGCCAGAGAAGTAAATGCAGGGAAGAAAAAAAAAAGGAAAGGAAAGAAAAGGAAAAGAGCCCTTCCATGGCTCCGTCTCACTTACAGTGGAGCCAAAGTCCTTATCAAGGCCCATAAATCCACCTGATAGGCAGGCCCACCTCCCCTCTCTCCCCCATCACCATGCCCACCCTCTCTGTTCTCCCAGTACGCCCTCAGTTCCTCTCACTCGCTCCCACCTCACACTGCACTCCTGTCCCCTCTGCCTTCAGAGTCTTTTTTCTTGCTGTTCCTTCTACCCTGAATGCTATTCCTACAGATGCACACACGGCTCACTCCCTTCCCCCAGGGGTCTTGGCTCTCTCGGACTGCAAGACCTCTCCCCTTCCCCAGCTCCAAATCTCCCTTCCCTGGCCACTGCTCCCCCAGCGGAGCACCCTCCCGTCTGGCAAGAGGTTTCCTGGTTTGCTCTCTAGATAGCCCAGGGCCCAGTGAGGGTTTGGCACATGGTTCTTGCTCAGTAAACATTTGCACATTGAATAAGGAGTTGCCTCTGGAAATCCAAAAGGCCCTCATGGGTGGAGGGAGCCCCGTGCTGAATCTGTATCAGTGGGGTGAGGATTGGAATCCCCGCTCTTCCTATCACAGGGGCTGTTGGCCTCTTTGAACCTCAGTTTCCTCATCTGGTAAATGGGTGAAGAAGCACTAATTTCAGGGGGCTTCTAAAAGGATTGAGGAAGCTCATTTTCTAAACAGCTTAGCCTCGTGTGGGGCGTGGGGCATGGCTGTAGGCAGAGGTTAAGGGCACAAGCTCAAGCACTGAAGTGCTCAGGTGTAAATCCTGGCTCTGTCACTCACTTTCAGTTAGCACCCTGGATACACGACTTCATTTCTCTGAGCCTCAGTTTCAACTCTGTTCAATGGACTCATGATGACAATGATGGTGAGGAAGATAAAGATGAAGATCAGGATGGTATCTGGTGGTGGGTTGTGAGCAACAAATGAACTAATCCAGAGCACTTAGAGTGCAGGGAGCACACTCATTAAATGGTAGCCATGCTATTATTATTGTCGCTCTTATCCACAGAGTTCAGATCATGGAGACCAACTAGCTGAGGTTCAAATCCCAGTCCTGCTGCTCGAGAGCCAGCCTCCTGTGCAGAGCTTCCTTCCCGGCCTCCCTGGTGCCTTTACCAAATGAGGGTAACAGCCGAGCCTAGGTTATTAGGTTATGGGCCAATGAAATGAAATGATTGCCACGAGGCTGAGCACACACAGCAGTGGCTGTGGTGCGGTTGTCACCATGGCTCCGTGAGGATGACCTCTGTGCCCCACCCGACCCTACTCCTTGGTCCCGGGGCCTCACCGTGAGGATCATGGACCGGCGGCGGCAGAGGGCAGCGCCCACACCGAAGCTGGCCACCACGAAGAAGGAGAAGCCACAGAAGATGGCGATCCAGGCGCCGGCGAAAACGTCGTCCTTGCCGGAGACGCCCATCAGTGGATACACGCGGTACTGGTCGGCTGTCACCCACACCGTCTCGGCAAACAGGGCCAGGCCCGACAGCTGGACAGGGCAGGGGGTTAGCGAGGCCCATGCAGCTGCAGCAGCCCTGGCAGCATGAGTCTCCAAGAGCGAGTGCCCCGTTCTGAGCCTCCACTGCCCTCTTGGAAAAGTGTGCAAAGACATCACCTTCTGTGAGTGGGGACGCAGCTGGGCAGGAGGCCAGGAGGGAATGGCGGGCCCAGCCAGACCCCTGCACCCCCACCCTCCTCCCCTCTCTCCACAGCTGCCAGTGTGTTCAAGGATACAAGGATATGCGACATGCAAAACCTGGAGCACGTGAAGATGCCAGGTCCACCTGCCTTCCCTGAAGAGTGCTGCTCTTCCCTCCAGGGGAGTTTGGCCGTGGACTGAACAATGACAAATGCATCAGGCCAGCACTGATCCACTTGCAGGAATCAATCCCATGCAGGAAAATCACAAACCCACAAGGTTATTCCCCCCAGCACCGTGGGTAAAGGAGCCAGGATGCCTTGCCACAGGGTGCTGTCCCGTTGTGGAAAAGGGCAAGGAGGCTGTCTGAGGAAGCAGGTGGAGTGGCCTACGGGTGACGTGAGCCGAGGAAGTGGGAGGCATGGAACAGGACGTGGAACAAGCTACATTTCGGGCAAGAAAGGGGAGAATATAGGTTTATGTGTTCCTGTTTGTTTGTATTTGCTTAAAGAAATATTGGAGAAACCGAAAACCTGGTTACCTATGGGGCCGAGGAACAAGGTAAGAGGAAGAGTGCTCAGTGGATACCTTTGAAATCAATCAAACGAACGCTCATAGATAGAGTGCTTACTGTGTGCATTGGCCCTTGTCACTGCTGTCTGTGTGACAGTCAGTAATTCTGCCAGCTGTTGTCCTGACCAATGCAAATGGCAACCACGTGTGCCAAATTCTGGTCTGAGCACAAATCCAGTACTTCATTTTATCTCTCAGCATTCCTATTTTATTTCCATCTTCCAGATGAGAACACTGAGGCCCAGAGAGGTCACATCACTGGCCCAAGGTCCCACAATAGAAGGTGGCTTAGCTGGGATTCGAACCCAGGCTGTCTGGCTCTAGAGCCATGCAGGTATCACATAATTAAAAGATATTGTTATTACTCATTACTCTGGGCCTTCTGTGTGCCAAGCAGGCACTGTATGTCCACATCATGTTGATGATTTTAGCTGGCACTTGTCAAGCACTTTTTCTGAGCAGAGGGCCATACTGGAATTAATGCACACAGCAATGCCCACAATGAGGACATCATCTATGGATGGGGAAACAGGCACAGAGAAGTAAAGTCGCTTGCTCAAGGTCACACAGCTGGAGAGAGGCAGAGCTGGGATTCAAATCTGGGCAGCTCTGACTTGAGAGCCAGGAGGCACTGGCCATTAGGGGAGTCCTGGGCCCTTAGCCATGCTCCTCCCCCAGGCTGAGGACCGACCCCCTCTTCCCCACCTGCCTGCCCATGTTCCCACCCTGGGGGATGTCTCACCAAAATAACGATGTTGCCAATGACCAGCAGTCCCACCACAACCGGAGACCCCTTCTCTGCTTCTGCTGCTGCAGAAGCCATAGTCGTGCCTGGGACACAAGCGCAGGGATGAGGCTAGTTGCGGGGTTGGGAGACAGCAAGGGCCTGGCCGGACCCACTGCCCCCACTCCACACCCCAGCTGTCAGGGGCTGCTCCCAGCTTTCTGCTGGGCCCAGACAGATATCAAGTGTGTCCAGCCTCCCACAACCCCAGCAGTGGGCCATTTTACAGAAGAGGAAACTGAGGCTCAGGTGGGGCAGTCACTGGCCAGAGCTCAGCACTGGCCTTCCCTGAGCCTCAGCCCTCCCCAGCTCCCCCTGCCCACCCGGGCCCCCAGAACCCCCTCCTCACCTTCTCTGCTGGAAGCCTCTCTGGCCAGCCCCTCCCGCAGTGGCTTCTTATATATGCTCAGGCCCCTCCTTGGGCCAGTTTCCTGGAAGAGGGGAGGGTGTCTGGAGGAGGGGACAAGAGGTCAAGCAGCAGACCAGTGTGGGAGAACAGCTTTAAGAGCCCCCCCACCCCACCAAGTGATTTATAGACCTGAAATTCCAGATCATGCTATATCTGGCCAAATGGGCAGGGTGACATGCCTCTGGTTCTCAGGCTATCGTGGTGGTGGAGGGGGCAGGGCGGGGAGGGTGAGACTTGCTGTCTCTCCTTAGGACTAGAGCCTTCCTGGGAGGAGGGGAGAGATCCAAGTCAAACCAGCAGCAATCCCGGAACTGCGTCTTCTGCTGGTGAATCCACCACACCCAGGCTGGGAGCCAGGGGAAGTGGCAGGCCAGGACCCCAGCAGGCGAGGGCAGCTGGACAAGGAGAGGAGATAGCAGATGAGGCAAGTGGGAAGAATACTCAGAAGGCTGATTTTCGGGCTCTGGGATGAGGGGCAAGATGGAAGGAAAAGGGGTGTGTCAGAGGATTTTGAGATGAATATCTAAAGAGCAAGCAGGGAGACGAGTGTGCTAGAAAAAGAGAGGGGGACACTGATGGGCTTGGGGAGAAACGTGGCCCCCAGCATCACCGCACACGAGCGGAGAAAGCAGGGTCAGAGCGAGGAGCCGTGGGTGGAAATGTCTTCAGTCTGCGGAATCAAAGGGACCTAGGTTCAAATCCAAGTTCCGCCTACTCCGTGCAGCGCGTCCTGGCATGTGCATTTGCCCATCTGCAGAATGGGTACCATCATACCGCTTTCTTGGACGGCAGTGGGAACTAAGTGCGGGGATGACTGCAAAGGGTGTCTTCAGGCCTGGTGCAGCAGGCGGCCGCGCCTCACCAGCAACGCTCGGGAGAGGCCCACGTTCCCTCCGATGGCGCCCCCTCGTGGCACAAGGCTAATTCCGCAGGCGAAAATTGTGGCTTGGGGCGCTGGTTCTTCCCCAGAACTTCTCAACCCCGAGGACTAGGGCATTTGCAGCGATTTCTCTCTAGGCCTTGGCTCTCCCAGTGTGAGAGATACGAGCAAACAAATGGAACTTAAAATTCCACTGTCAAGATACTGGCTTGGTAATAAGACACATGAGATGTTTTCCAGTTAAAATGGATAATTGATTTTTAGTCAATCCACTTTACATTTAAAATTGTTTTTCTCTGTTGATTTATATATATATTAAGTACTAATGAGAAAATTTAAATAATAATCCATATAATCTGTAAAATACATTTTATAAACTTTAGCTAAAATAACTTGCAAAATAATAGGGCCAAGCTAATAATATGAAATATTTTTATTTTCAAATAGTTGATAACTGTAATTAGACGTTATATAAAATGTCTAGTAAAAGCAGAAAGTTGTCATCAGTGGGGGCAATAATATGTCACCTGTCATAAAAGAAATTCATTTTGTCCTGAAACATGAACCCAGTGTATTTGGGTGTTTTGAATTTTCAGTATTCTTTCTTACTATTATATAAGCCAGAACAATAAAATTTGAAGTGCTAATTACTCAGATGCTCAGAAGGCTGATGATAAAAATCACAATGGCAAGATCTCCTAAAGATGATACACACCTATGCTATGATCCAGCTATTTGTCCCCAGAAATTCCCCCACTTCTGTCTATCAAGCGCTGGGAGTGTATTCCTAACAGCCTCAAACCGGAAACCACCCAAATGTCTCTTAACAGGAGAATGTTTAATGCACACAATGCATGCACACAATGGATACTATTCAACAATAAAAGGGAATGGATTGGTGCAACCGGGGTGAACCTCAAAAGCATTTTGCTAAATGAAAAAAAGCCACACTCAAAAGGCTACAACTGTATGAGTCTAGATAAAAAATTCTAGAATAAACAACAACAACAAAAAATAGGGGGAGTGGTTACCTTGGGGGCATTGTGACTGGAGGGGACAGGAAAGGAGTTTCTCTTTCTTGATTTGGACACTGGCTGCATAGGAATATTCAGACTGTGAAATGTCATCAAGCTGTACACTCACAATAAATGTATTTTTTTTTATTACAATGCTTTCTAAAGAGGGTGGATCCTTTCAAAAGAAATATATTCAATGTGTTAAAAGTGGTGTTTTCCAAAGAGGGCACACAAGTTAATTTTAGGTGTTTCATGGACATGAAATGAAATGGCATCGGAATGATACAAAATTCATGTGATGAGTAAAGGATTCATTTCTAACCAGTCCTTCTGATGGTACCGTGGAGAAATATCAGCAGTTTGATGCTGCTGTGTCCTAAACACCTCTCCTTTCTTAAGAGCAGTTCTTAACAGGCCTCACTGACTGACTAGGATTTAATGATAACATATTGGCATCGTATTTATTTTTATTTTTTTGTACTTATGTTTTTAAAATAAGATGTTTTGTTTTCCATGGTCAGTGGTGAAAGGAAACTTTTCTCAAAAAAAATTTTTTTATTATGAAACATTTCAAGGGAGGAGGGGATAGCTCAGTAGTAGAGCGCATGTTTAGCGTGCATGAGGTCCTGGGTTCAATCCCCAGTACCCCCAATAAAATAAATAAATAAACTTCATTACCGTCCCCCTCCAAAAAATAAAACATTTCAAGTATACAAAAAATGTAGAGAGTAATGTGACACCTACATCCTCATCACCCCGCTCTGTCAAATCTAAGCATTTTTATGGATTCACTGCAGATTGTTTTTTAAAGTGCATACATTGCAGATGACATTCGAAGCCGCCATCTCGCCCCAGAGACACCTTCCCTACTAAATTTGGGACTCATCCTCCTCCACACTCCTTCCCGTCTTCTTTTCAGATTGCAGGTGTCATGGGTTGAGTTAATACCACACCCTCAGTTTATAGCTCATTATTCCCCACAAGACACCTCTTGATTTCTTGTATTCCCTCATATCTCCCTATTTGCAATCTCTTTTGGTGCCCCCTACTGGCAAACATTGTAATCTGTTCATATATATCTTTTTTTGTTGGGTGGGTTCTCGTAAAATGGGAGCCATGGTTTCCTGTGCATGTATTTTCTAATTTACATACCCATGATTGTGTTAAATACCTCATGCTATTCTTACTTTTCTTGCTCAGCACTACGATTTTATTAAGATCCATCCATGTTCCTCTGGACACATTGGCTTCTGACGGTTGCTTGGGACACCTGTGGTCCCACAGTTTACTCTCTTCTCCAGAGAGGACGGTCAGGCTACTTCCAGCTCCCCGACCCCACCACTCCCACTTAAATAATGCTGCAGTGAGCACCTCATGCATAGCCCCGGACAGACTCACAACCAAGTGGACCAGCAGAAGGAACAGAAGCGTCAGTTTCCTCACTTGTGAAATACGGGTCATAATCATACGTGGCTCGTGGAGTTGCTGAAGGCCCATGATAAATAAGGCAGGTAAGGTGCCTCACAAGGTAGCTATAGAGTTGTTTTATAGCCTGCAGTTACGCTCCGAGGAGGAGTGAGGTGGAAAATCCTGTACTCAGCCGACACAGGGGAGCTGAATGAGAAATGGTCTTGCGGCAGTCTTTGCAGGAGAGGGAGGCAGGTGGGAAAATGCCTCGTGGCAGCGCTTTGCAAGCCTGCTTACCTCCCTTTATTTCAGGAGGAATCAGCAAGTGTTCTGCCATGGTCCGGGTCAGACCACAGTTAAATATCGCTTATGTGGAGACGTGCAAGGCTGTCAGGGAGCCATGGGGGAACCGTTTCCCATAGTCTCACCCCACAGGTCATCTGCCTACGGCAAAAAGGGAAAACAGATCTCTCCAGACAGCTAATGGCCACCTACTTTCCTAGGGATTAGACTCAGCCACCACTAACGGGAGACACGCACAGGAAGGATTCTTGCAAAAAAAAAAACCTGAACTGCCTCTAATTAAGCCTTTAGAACTAACTTCCAGTTTATAAGAAGTACAGATGGCAGCAGCAGCTAAATGACCTGAGGAAACAATTAGGCAAATCCAGAGTAGGGGACATTCTATGAGGCAGCGGGCCTGGCCTCTTTAATTCTTGTAAGAGTGGGTGGGGTGGAGGGGGAGAATTCTAGAATTTACAAACTACTAGAGACCTAAAAGTCAGAATGCAGGTGAAACTTGATTGGATCCTGGTACCAAAAATAAACGAATTAAACACTAGTTAAAAAAAGAAGGGTTTTGGGGTACAATTTGGGAAATCTGAATATGAGACATTAGAGAATTCGTGTTAGTTTTTCTCAGGACTGATAACGGTATGAAGGAACATGCCATTTTTCAGGGATACATGGGTAATTATTTAGGAGTGAAGTGTCAGGATGTTTGGAAAGCGCTTTTGAGTGATTCAGTAAAAAATAAAATGTACACCTACACAAAGTAGCTATGACACAGTGTTAACAATTGTTAAAACTAGGTGGTGGGTATAAGGGCGAGTATTGTACTAGTTGTCCACTTTTTCTGTATGCTTGAAAATTTTCGTAAAATGATAAAGAGGTAATATACATATTTAAAAAATCCCTGCCCTCGTGGAAATTACATTCTGGTATTAGGGTGGACAATTATCAAGGGCAAAGAAGTAAAATATAGTGAATATTAGTGGTAAGTGCTTAAGAAATGAAAGGCATGAGGGCTGCAGAGTGTTGTGTGTGGAGATGAAATGGAAGGTTGAGTGGCCAGGTAAGGGCTCATGAAGTTGTACTTGAGGAAGAGCTGAAGGCAGGAGGGAGCGAGTCGTGTCACTCTCTTGTGGAATGGCATTCTGGACAAAGCAAACAGCAGGTGCACAGACCCTGAGGTTGGAACCAGCCCGGTGCCTTGAACATCTCATGAGCTCACAGGTTGTTACAATGAAGAGGTCAATGCAGTAGGAACTGCATGAGAAATGGGAGATCAAAGAGGAAGTGGGAGAACCATCTCAGATCTTTATCAAACCAAGTACAGACAAAACAGGTGTTTATAAATGCTTCTAGAGGCATGGGCTATCTCTGGAGGAATTCACGGGTAACTGCTAACGGTGGCAGTGTCTGGACAGAATTGGGTGATTGGGGTTAGGGGAAACCCTGCATCTCGACTTTTCACTGTACTTACTGTTTCCTTTTATTCCCCCCCAACCCCAGTATTTCTATCCATTTTTTTTTTTTTGGCTTGGGAGGTCATTAGGTTTATTTACTTATTTATTATTATTACTATTTTTAATAGAGGTACTGGGGATTGAACCTGGGACCTTGCGCATGCTGAGCATGCGCTCTACCACTGAGCTCAACCCTCTCGCCCTGGACTTTCGTTTGAAATATTCACCATGTTTAAGTTCATTCTTATTTCCAACACATGACAAAAGCTTCTAGAGTCCCTCAGTCCCTCTGCAGGCACGAGGCTCCTCCGTTTACAGTCCCTCTTCCTCATGGGCAGCCATTTCGGAAGATTCCTCCCCAGGGCCATTTTCTCTCAATGCGAGAATCGTCTCTCTGCTCTTTTGAATACACCTCAGAGAAATCTGTTGCACAACTATTTGGTTTTGAGGAAACACCGATTTGGCCATAACATGGTGCCCTATCTGGTCACAGTGTCTCAGGAGCTCCCCGTTGACAAGACTGCGGTGGACGGTATTTTGGACCGTTATCGTGCAGCAATTCCTCTGGGGACACTGAGAAAGAACATTTAACTTGGCCTAGTTAAATGACCATGGCCAACATGAATGAGGCCTAGAACATAGGGAGAAATTACACACTGTGCAGAAGACTGCTTGTTAGATATTAAGAACTTACTGTTCATTATTAGATATAATTATGGTATGATTATATTTAAAATAAACCTGTATCTTGAAGAGATACATATGCTTACTTACTTCTGGATAAAATATGATCCCCAGTATTTGCTTTAAAATTACCTAGGGGGGAGGGGAGTAGTTAGAGATGAAACTGGTCATTTGTTGTCACTGTTGAAGCTATGGGTACACAGGAGTTTTTATTATACTATTTTCATGTGCTTCAAAACCTAAGGTTTTAAAAAATTGTACAGATAATATAAAGAACATACAGATAAATTTTAGCACACACAGGAACTCAAGGTTATTCTGTATAATCACTCACTCTATTGTCTGGTAAAGAAGAGGTGGTCAAAGTTTATTAAAACAAAAATTTTAAAAAAAGAAAAGAGAAAAAAACCCCACCACCCTGAATTCAGTCTCTCTTACTAGTCAAGGTCCTAATTCCCCATCTGGCCCCATCACCCAGCTCTTTTACACATACACAGCCTTACACTTTTCCAACAAGTGTTTATTATTAGTTAAGCCATGATTCAGGATCCCAGGGTGGGGATCACTATGTAGCCGGGTCTGCCTTCACCACCCCGGGGAGAAGGACGGAGGACAGAGGTGGGGTGGGGTCAGTTCAGATCTTCCCAGGAAACGTGCCATCGGCCCGGCGTTCGTCCCAGGTCGTCACCTGTAGAAACACAGCCAGCGTTACTCCCTTCTCCCGTGGGGAAGCCAGGCGGACAGACTTCTTTGTCTCCCTCACTTTGCCCACCTGTTCGGTCAACAAGTAACCCCAGTACCTGCTCTGTGCCAGGACTGGTAACTGTTCCAGGAGCTGGAGAACCAGAAGAGACCCAGAAGGACAAGAATCACTGTTCTGAATGAGCTGACATGAGCTGACCCACAGTGGGGACAGGAGGTGGGGGAGGGAGGAGGAGTAAGAGGCAGACTCAGTGCAGAGCTGTCCATGGGGAGAGGTAGAGCTTTGGGCGTATGACGGTGTCCTGCTCTAGAAGCCCTGGAGTCAACACTCAGTGATGTTTGTCAGAATGGTAGAAAGAAGGACTGCTAGGCAGCTGTGAAAAAGATGAGGCTGATCTATGCCCCAGCACGAATGGATCGCTAAGATACACAGTCAAGTGCAAAAAGGTCCAAACCGGATATAGTGTGATCCTACTATTGCTCACAGATGTATGCATACACATAAAAATGATGGAAAGGCCCGTACCAAACTGCAACACTCTCCAGAGGTAACACTCTGCAACTTGTAGACCTTCCTACAGGCGGTTAGAAGCATATTCATTTTTACACACTCACACATTCACATTCATATGCTATGTATTAGAGGAAGTGGATAAATGCACGGATAAGGAAGACTGACTCTGAATCCCTGTTCCATCACTTCCTAGCTCTGTGACCTTGGGCACATTACTTAACCTTTCAAGGCCCCGGTTTCCAATTCTGCAAAATGAGAATACTGATAACAGTACCTATGTCACCCCCTTTTTTTTGCATGTTTGCCCTTACATGACATAAAGCACTTACAAAGTAGCTGGTCCACAGTAAGTGTGCCTGTTTTATTTACACACACACACCACACATCACACATTCTCTATATACAGATTAGGCCATGCTATACAGACTGTCCTGCAACTTGCTTTTCCCACAAGTCTTAGAGCTCTTTCTGTAGTCTGCCACACAGATCAAGATAAATACACTATCATTTGTCAAACTTGGGTTATTTCTGAATGTTCCCCATTACAAACAACTCTGCAATGGGCATCCCTGTACACAAACATTTTTGTAGGATGTGTAGATGTGAAATTGCCACATCTAGAGTATGAATCTTTTCATTTTGAAAGATCCTCCCTCAGGACTGACCTCAGAAGTGACTAGACCAATTTATAGAACCACCAATACTTAGCACTGTTATCCCCACCCCAACTCCTTTTAAATTAAAGGATCAGGCTGCTCTGATCCTTTGGCAAATTAGTCTTTGCCCAGTAATCCCAATTCATGGAAAGGAAACTAAAGAAACCATTCAGAGGGCAAACAAAACATTTCCTGCAATGGAATTGTACACTGCAGTATCATTTACAATAATGAAAAAAGACTTGGTGTTGGGAAAACTGGACAGCAGCATGTAAATCAATGAAGCTAGAACACTCCCTTACACCATACACAAAAATCAACTAAAAATGGATCAAAGACTTAAACATAAGACAAGATACAATAAACCTCCTAGAAGACAATATAGGCAAAACATTATCTTACATACATCTCAAAAACGTTCTCCTAGGGCAGTCTACCCAACGAAAT